TTCTGTTATCCTGGATATTTCCTTTTCATATGTTAAATGCTCAAAAATAATCAATTTGTATGTGGTTTAAGTGTTTTTAATTTCATTTCACTGTAGCTGGTTTTTTGTTTTAATTTTTGTAATTATTAATAGCCTCATCCTCAGCCCCAGTTCTAAAGTATCTGTATCCCTCTATGCAGCATTTTTGGGTAACTTAAAGGTTTAAAAATCAATCATATCTTTCAACGGATTCACTTTATGTCAAATTGACTAGCTGGGACTCCTTGATTTAATTAGAAGATGATAGTGCTTAAAAGTAAAAAAAAAAAAGGAGTTTGTGTAGTAATATAACTAGGAAATTTAGTCTCTTTATAGATGTGTTTTGCATATTTTGTATTGCACATTTCATTGCAAAATTTTATGCCTATTTGAATTTACTTACAGATTTGCTCCCTAGAGCCAGAAATGACTAGTACATATGTATGAGGAGAACCTTTGCCTTAACTTTACCTACAGATTTGCAAAGTATGAATTACTAAAAAATCATATCACATTTCTCAATCATACATACATGTGTGTAATTTTTTTTTTGGCAGATCATCAATTTTCAATATGAAGTTAAGCTGGCCATTTATTTATATCATATGTTAAAAATGATTTGAGCATAAAGCAGGCACTATCTTTTGAAGCGGGGCCATGGAAAAAGTCTGCTGGTACCCAAAATTTCAATCAGCGTATTAACAGATGGGACAATATTTCTTATTCATTCCTATTCTTGGAAGTTCTTTCCTCCCTGCATTAGTGAAATCATAAAATATAAAACAATAATACGTTGCGTTTAACATCAATCAACAATACCCATCACTAATAGAGATAGATGAGATGGACGGATGGATGGATAGATGGATAGATGGATGGATGGATAGATAGATAGATAGATAGATAGATAGATAGATAGATAGATAGATAGATAGATAGATAGATAGATAGACAGATAGATAGATAGATGAGAGAGAGAGATCACAGATATAGATATAGATGGTGGCTAGATAATAGATGGACAGATGGATGAATAGATAGGTGATTGATGGATAGACAGACAGAGCTAGAGATTTTTTTTTCTTTTTTCCCCCTGACACTCTGAATTAACACAGAGCATGAAACTTTGGAAGTAGTGATGAAAACATTGTCTTTGCATACACATCACACACCTTCTAAATGAATAAATCTTTTATTCTCACTTATGAGAATCTATGAAGATTTCTGGGGTTTGGGCTCAGTGCAATATCCAGTTGTGAAGGAAGGAAGTCAATTCTTTATAAATGAAACTATCACCATTGTTTCTGCACTGCCTTAAGATTTTCTCTGCTTTTTTAAAAGAAACAAAACAATGTTAACATTTTTTTTCCTTGTGTACATCAATTAGTACTGGCAGTACTTGCAACATTAGGTGACCTGTATCATGAATATTTTTTTTAAGCTTCAGGAACAAACAAAAGAACGATGGCATTTCCCAGAATGAAAACAACACGCACACCCTGTGCATCTTTAAATGGCTCTCTTTATTAATATGATATGGCAAATGTTTGCTCCTGTTTATTAAATCAACTTGAAAGGTTAATTATGCTTAGTGACTATGGATAGAAAACAATTCTTGTTTAACAACAGGTTGGCAGTCTGCAAGAGCCATCTGTTTCCCCCAAATGTTAAGGTACAATCTTAAATTTGTGAGGTTAAAAAGTACAGATTGCAGAGTAGTTTAAGGAGATATAAAATCCGTGCTGTGATGATAGGGAAGCACTGATTCTCCTTGACATGCAGCATGGTAAGTTTGCCAAGTTTTCTGAAGATGGTGGTAGGCTGCAAATAATGGGTGGGAATTACTGGCAGTAAGTAACAAGAATAGGCCTGCTGACTTTCCCTTCATATATAAGGAGTCAGGTATCCTGGAATGAACCAGGGTTTGAATCTATTGCAGGATAAGCATCCATTTTGTTTATTTATTTTGAAATGTATTTTAATAATGATGTTATTAAATAATGATAAGAGTCCATATCTTGATTTTAAAAATCCTGAAGATGACCAATTCAGTTGTATGAATCCTTAGTGCTTTTCAAAAACTAGCTTTGTTTCATTACTCAGCTAGTAACGTCATCGGTGCTAAGAAAACAACCAAGCTCAGAGGACACCTCTTATTTTAACCCTGAGCTACAAATATTCTCCTTTAGTGGTACTAGTCACTCATGTCCAGGGCTTAAAATACTGAACAAATCCCCATTAAATCATCAGGTTCATTGGGGGTACTCACTCAGCCCAATTTACCTCACAGTTTTGAGGATAAGATGGAGTGGAAAAACCTCACATACATGATATACCTAATTTAATTTCTAGAACATAAACATTGATGAAACTCATGTCTGTCATTTTTGTTGATATATAAAGCTCACTTGCCTACAATTACCATATAACTGGCATTAATACACAATTCCAGCCATTTTTAATATAATTAAGCTAGGACTTAACTATGTCCCACATCAAATCCTTTTTGTGTTCTTCTAAACTTTTTGCTTCATAATGGATATAGGACTCCTTCCAACCTTTTTATTTAATCTTCCTAAATTCTAATCAATCTCCACAAATCTATCAACTATTCGTAGTTATGTAATTCTGAATTCAATTCCATCAAATCTTTAGAGCTCACTTTTGATTTATCAATAATGTAATAATGGAAACATTTGATCTAATCTGTTTGAACCAAGAAGACCATTTATTAAATGGCCAGCGTCCATTAGAGTTGAGCAGCAAATATATTCAAATAAAAATAATAGTGATTTACTGCATCATCTGAGCACTGTGGTTAAAAGACTGGGGTAAAGGCTACATCATGGGATGAACTGTTCTTGCTTGATGTGCCCACACCATTCAGACTCTGATTTTCGTTATTATTCTAAACCTTTGCAATCTATGAGTTGTAGAAAAATATTTTGCTTGCCAACCAAGTGGATAGGCAAAAAAAAAATTTTCTCCCTTTTGAGCCCTTTAGTATTGCATGTCTGCTAATCCAATTATTTGAAATGCACGCCTCTCGCTGCATTGACTATGGAATGACAAGCTTTGCCCAGCCCAGTAACAACACACTGCGTCCTTAGTAACAGCAGCTTCCTTGCTATGGTGATTGTGAAAAGCAGTTCATTTATGGTGGCTGGATGCCTGTTGCCTTTGAAGACTGCACAGAGGAGGTGGGTGTCTCAAAACCCGAAAGGAAGAAAGGAAACCATATGCTTAAGGCCAGAGTGTTATTTCTTTTTGCTGAGTGTGAACTTAGGGAACAAATGACAAACTTTCTTTAAAAGCTATCTCGTACTTAGGAAAAGTTAAATCTCTGTCAGGATGCAATTAGGCCATTCAGAATAAGATAATTGGATCCTTGTGAACTAATCTTGAAAGGGGAAAGTGGGTTAGATCTGACTGTATCATGGACAGGAGTCTTCTATGGAAATACTGGAATCTGGACTGAGAAGTTAACAGAAGGCAACGGAAAACCAATTTATACTGAAAGCTGCATGAAGTTAGATGTGTCCATGAAGTCAACAGGAACTGAGTTCATCTCAAAGACTTTGGTAAATTGTACTTGGTTATTTCCATGGAACCGTCCAGCATGAAAACACTGAACTAATCTAGCTGTGGTATTGAGGGAAGGGAGAGAAATCTAACTATACTAAAGCAATATGATTATGAGGGGAAAAGGGGAAAAGTGCTTCAAGCTCTCTCCAGCATTATAGGAAGAAGTTAGGAATTCTGGAAGAAGTAAGGAATTTCCTGGATTTTTAAAGGGTTTTCTGGAAAGCCTTTGCCAAGAAATGCAACCCAGCTATTTTTACCAAGACAGCCTGGGTTTGTAGTATTTTTCTACCATGAAGTCTCTAAAGCTGGCTCCTCAAAGTGATCAGTATCAATCCACAATGATTGATGGAGTTACCCAAGGGAGCGAAAAATGTATGGGAATGAAAGGGGGATCTGTAAATGTCTGGAGTCCATAGGAGGTCAAGAAATTATAGAGGGACAATTGGGATCAATTAATCTTTTGTTGTCTCTGCAGAGTTAGTAGCAAGACAGGGGTGGATGGTCAGCCATCAGTGAAAGCAGCCTGGAGTTGTCTCTATTATTGTTATTGTTCATAGCACTATTAGTTAAAGCTAAATTGTTTTCCTATAATAAATTATTGGGATTAAGGGGAGAATCTGAAATTTTATGAAGGCATCAATGAGCTGAAGAATTTAGGGATGATAACTTGCTCCATTGTTATGTTATTAACTGCTACAAATGCTACTAATTTGAAAAGTAAAAAGGGAGTGATATTTTTCAGACTATTAATTAACAATAAAAGGTATTTGGAAGGAAATTATTTTCTCATGTCACATTTTCAGTTATAATATTTAAATATCAATACTGAAAAATCCTCAAAAGTTACAATCCTGTAAAAGTTTCACTAAGAGAAAGTGCCACTGAATTTAAGAGTGCTTGTAGATTCTTAGAATATCGTAGGACTACACTGTAAAGCAGCCATTTATTTAGATGCAGAATCAATAGCTATTATGAAAATCTAATACCAATTACATAGCAACCCATAGCTTGGTTGATTGCTTCTCAAGCTGATTCCCAATATGGGCCCAATATCCTGTAAATCTCAAATTATTAACTAATCTTAATATTATGCTGGAATTGGGTCAATTATGTGGGAAATTCTTTCAGGATAAATGTATGAATATAAAAAATACAGCCTTTTACCTTTGTTCACACTTAATTTACTTTCCTGGGCTCCTTTTAAACAAGGCATTTAATTTTTAAGCTCTTCAACCAAGCTTTTGTTATTTCATTATTGAGTGAATTGATACCCAAATATTCCTAAAATATTTGCAGGACCCGTGTACCCACTTTCAGTTTCCATTTTTAAAGAAACAAACTTCTCCAGGGAAATTATAAGAAAGTGATCCTTTGGGGAGAGCAAGACGGAACTGGTAATGGCTTCAGTAAGAAACCTACCTTATGGATTTGGTACAAATTACGAGACTGTAATAAAGATTATTGGGAGCAAATATGTCCGATGCCTTGTAGAGAAAAGTGATGGGTAAGTATGATCTCCGGGAAATATTTTGATTAGAATTCATGGCATTATGTCTTTAATTAAAATATCAAAGATGCCACAAAATATATATTGCAATTAAAATGCAGTAAATGCTAATACATGGTATTAAAATATTATTATCAGCATCAGGACATTTAGGAGAACAGGGAAACATTTCATTTTTTAATCCATTTAAGGATGAGCACCAGAGGTGTTATTTAGCCAGTTTGGACCATTTCTGGCATACTGGTAGCAGAATGCTTGAGTACTTCGGAAATTGGCAAATACCACTTCTGGCTGGCCCACCCTCCTGCCCCTGCTGTTCCCGTCCTATATTCCCTTGTTTTTTAGCTCAGCTGATTTGTGCAGCCAAACAGATTGCCGTGCCTCAGCTGAGCTTAAAAAACAGCTCAGCTCACCAGTGCTGACACTGAGGGCGATCTTTGAGTGCTGCGCGTGCTCTCATAGAACCGGAAGGAAAAGATTTGGATTCCCTCCACTGAAGAGCACATAATAATATACAAATTAAAGAGCTTAAATAGTTTTACCTCAGTTTTATTTTTAAATACCTAGGAAGGAGGATAAATTATTATTTTATTGTGTTAGCATTTACAAATCCAGAGTTGGTCACGGAAGTGGTGGGTGGGTGTGCGTGTGCACACAGGCATGTGCAAGTAACCATCCTCTCTTCCCCTGCTGCCATCACCTCTACCAGTCTGCTGAGCCAGAAGGGTTCAGGACCACTGTCCTAGATGCTTTTAATTATCTTAGACCTGCTTTTGCAGGTCTAAGATAAATATTCTCCAGGTGTTCAGACATACTTGTAAGTTGGGTTCATACAAACCTGGCTTCTATTAACCAGGGATCATTAAATAGGACAATCTCTGAATTAGTTCCAATTATTTTATCTCCCCTTCCACTGTTTCAGCCTTGAAGCCACTTATGTACACAATTCTATCAATTATATAGAATAACTTCTTTGTACTTTTCATCAAAGACTTTGTGGTGTAATGGAGCAGTTTATTTTCTTTTTTCACCGTGTCATTTTGCTTCTATTCAAACTGATTGAATGAGCCAAAGCTTCATTTCTTTTATGCCTTGTTAGATGGCTTAACTTCAACTGAAGTTTTCTATTACAGGGCAAATCCTTCTTATGGATATCATAATGAGAAACTGTGATGGGGCAACCACTTCCCTATTCTAAGCAACAATATTTTCCTTGTATTTTGCATAGATCTCACAGAGAAGGGAGACATCCCAAGAGATAACATTTCCTTAGCATTTGTCTTTCAACAAAATGTAACAGAATCATTGTAAGATAATGTTACAGAGGTCTAGATTTAACAAGTGCAGGAAGTATCTGTAACGTGTAAGATCTGAAATCTCACAAAAAGGAAGAAATAGAAGAGAACGTTGATGGTTTTTCCTCCACCACCTACTATTAATCATATCCTATTGTCAAATTGACAGGATACCATGAGAGTACTTGCCTATAAAGTCACCAAGAGTCAGACATAACTAAATGGTTACAACAGGGGTGGGATTCTACCAGTTCGGACCGGTTCTATAGAACTGGTTGTTACGATTCTGAACAGTTCAGAGAGCTGGCAAATCATGCCCCTGGCTGGCCCCTCCCCTCTCTGCCCACCCCTCCCCTCCCCACTCAGTCAGTTCTTATCACACATGCGTATCATTTTCTCCCACCCAGTCACTCCTTAAGGTATTTCTTGTTTTCCCCTCCTGATGATCAGCTCTTCCCATGTTCAGCTGTCCCGGGGTCCCCCTTACTGTCTTTACGGCTTCACCCAGGAGGCTTCCCTGAGGCCCAGGAGGCAAAAAGGGGAATGGGGGGCACAGCTCCATTTTTTTGCCTTTTTGGGCCTCAGGGAAACCTCCTGGGAGCAAAAATGCCCCCTGGGAGGCTTCCCTGAGGTCCAGGAGGCCAAAAAACAGAGCATGGGGGGGGGGGGTGCTGCAAAAAGAAGAAGCCACACCTACCCAGTCACATGGCCACTTTTCCCCTAGCCACACCCACAGAACTGGTAGTAAAAGTATTTGCATCCCACCCCGGTTACAACTTGAATTTTTAAATATTATTGATTATTATTCCTTATTGACTGATAAGTAAGGGAGAGCCTCTATTTCAAATATCCATTCAAGCATTCATTCATTTATCAAGCCTATATTTTCTCTGCTTATTTGAAGGCGTAAAACAAGACTGCTATTACCACCATGAGCTCAAAATCTAGTCATATGCTTCCTGGTGATGATACCACAAGCGTCTTAGTGGTTCAACAACAGATATAGATGAAATAAGTTTGCCTTTGGGGGTTACATTCATTGATTACACCGGCTCATTTCTGCCTAATGAACAAATGTTACATAAAATAAATATTTTGGATGTAAATGGAGAAAAAGTAAAGTAGTTACATCTCGGTGCCAAAATATATATTGAATACTTCCCACCCACAGGAAAGCAAAGGAGATTGTGAAACCTGAGGCACACTCCATGCTCCAAACTTTACCTCTGCATAATATAAGACAGAGAAATGGAAAATATCCAGACTGCAATAAGCCACCTGGTCAGCAGATCAATAATGGTGTGAATATTGAATCTCAGAACAAAGATGGAGTGGAAAAATATACATCCAAACAAACAGAGACAAATGTTATCAGATCTGTGGACAACAAAGTAAGTTGTTACAAGTGTTATAGTCCCTTCATTTTCTCATTCAGTTACAGATGGGAAAGTCTTGGGATCAGTCCTACTAATAGACCAACCTTTCATTGGTGGCCTTCAATGTGTGATCACAGAGATAGCATGAGAGTAAATAAGGACATGGAATGAAGTAACTGTGGTCTTCTATATTATCTATAAGATCTTGTGATATTATTGTTTCATGAGCATAATGATGTCATGATGTACATATCATCATTTTCATATCATCATGTTTTACTATGAATGCTGTCACAGTTGCCTGCCCTTACTTGTTAAAAGGGTGTTAGTATTGTACTGATTTTACAGAATGAAAATTTATTTTTCTTTATTTCTCTTTTTTTTGTTCCTTCTTTAAGGAACAAAAACCACTAAATTTGTATTGTGTTACTGCACCCTGTGGAGATAAGTCTTTATCTTATATTCACTCTATCAAGAAACCATCTTTGGAAGCTCAGAATTCATTACAACAGGTAAGTAAACACAATTAAACTTTCAGTAGTTACACTGGGTTTCATAAGCATCTTCCAAAAGGGGAGAAATAGTCCAACATATTTTATCACAGTGGTAAAACTTTCTTACCAAAGTACTATAAGGAGCTTGTTTACTGAAGCCAAATAGTTTTATTATAGTATGCCCAGAGGTGGTATTCAGCAGGTTCTGACCAGTTCTGGAGAACCAGTAGCGGAAATTTTGAGTAGTTTGGAGAACCAGCAAATACTACCTCTGGCTGGAGATTTTGCAGTATCCTTCCCCTGCCATGCACACCAAGTCATGCCCACAGAACCGGTAGTAAAAAAATTTGAATCCCACCACTGGATGTGTCCATGGCTTCACTTGTGAATAGGATCCTAGGTCTTTTCTGGACTGATTTCAAAGTGTTGGCAAATTAATTTTTAAGTTATATTCAGATGATCTGAAGGATCACCGCACATAGCTGCCTTGGTTTTCTACCAGTCCTCTTTTACTAGATCCTTGACCAGATGTCATGCTAAATGAAATGTGTCACACATCTACCATCAAGAGGGCCTTTCCAGTTATGGCATCTCAGTTGAAAAATTCTGTTCTTTCATAAAAATTTGTGACTGTTCATCAATATATCTAATTCTACATAATTGGGAAGTTTGCAGAACGGCAATGTGATATTACTTTTTATCTCTTGCTGGTACTTTTGTGTGCTTTAAAAATATCTTGATCACAAATATTTATGTTTAATATTTATTGTAGTATTAAAATGAGAGACACTTTGGTGCAAAGTGTATTGAGCTAGAAATTGGGAGACTCAGTTCTAGTCTTGTCTTAAGCACGAAGTCAGCTGGGTAACTTTGGGCCAGTCATTCTCTCTTGGCCCAAGGATTGAGACAATGGCAAACCACTGCCAAGAAATGTTGCCAAGAAAACTGCAGGGACTTATCTGTATAGTTGCCTGGAGCCAAGACTGATTTAGAGATACCCACATATCCATATCCAAGGACACACACATAATTAACATTGTTTGGATATAAAATTAATTCTTCAAACCTGCTTGGAGAAGATACTTGTCAATTCTATAAAGGAAGTCATAAAGAGGGAAAGGGCAGGTATCACAAAATATATAATATCCATTATATGTTATGAAATGGATAGTAATGGTGCTAAATCAGGGGCATACAGTGGTAACTGAAAAAGTCAAGATGCTGGCTGTGACCTGAAGCCCCGTTGCTTTTTTACATCTAAATCGAAAACATTACAACACTCATCAAAAGAGTGAGGCTTCAATTGTGTGGTCATGGCTACTACCTTGACTTTTTCTACTCCCTCCATCAATACTTCTGTTGTTAACCTCTAGTACAAATAGTAAGCTCAGTTAAGGGGATTCTCCCGAGTTCTACCATTGGAAGAGTCACATTATGAGAAGATGAAAGATACAGCCTTCTCTGCTATGGCTCCCAAATATAAAATGGAAACTTAGTTATTTATTCAAGCTTTGGGCCTCAGTAACTGTTTGTCTATGTAAATTCTTAATTTTGCTCTATCATTTTTATTTATTTTGTGGCACTCTGAGATTTCTAGGTATCGATCTATTGATCTACCAATCTATCAATCTATCGATTTCTACCTCTATCATCTATCATCTTTATCTCTATCTATCGATCTATCATCCATCAATCTATCTCCATCTATATCTACCTACCTACCTATCTCTATCTATCCATCATCTTCTGTGTGTGTGTCTGTGTCTGTGTCTCTGTGTCTCTGTCTCCCTCTCATCTATTTATATCTATCTATCTATCTATCATCTATCTATCTATCTATCTATCTATCTATCTATCTATCTATCTATCTATCCTTCTATCATCTCATTTATCCAGCCACCTTCTCACTTAAATGACTCTTATAATAAAATAAATTTTAAAAATGCAAAATATGAAACAAAAAATGTAGCAGCCAAGTTTCATAAATAATTGTCAATAAAGCCAAGAAATGAGTTCATTACACTTCTGGGTCCAGATCTGGGTACAAAACCAAGTTTTTAGATCCTTGCAAAAAGTCATCAGGATAGGGGTTAACCTAATCTCAGGTAGAATGATGTTCCACAGATCAGGCACCAAGGCAGAAAAGGCCCTCCTCCCAAACCCCATCAGTTGACTGACCTTATCTGATGGTGCCCATATCCTATTAGATCAGGCGGGAAAGATAAAAACAGTTTGGAAAAGACAGCTAAAATAATAGTATTTCTTTCATCAGGGCATTCTGCCAGAGACAAAGGATGAGGATGATTCTCTTCTAGTTCTTCTCAGAAAGGAATTTGAGCTGCATCCTATAAATCTCACTACTTTGGCCAGCCTGAATGAAGAGCTCAAGGAGAGGGATCCCAGGAAATCAGGATTTCTGTCTCAGGCCCAGTTGAGCACCCTGCTTCTCAAATATGATATCCCGCTACAACTACCAACTGTCAAACTGCTTTTCAAGAAGTGTTCACAAGCTAATGACCAAGAACTGGTATACTAGTATAATATTTTGAACTGTGTATCAAATTTATAATGTTGAGCTCATTGGAAAGGCACTTTTTAAAGACTATTTTATTCTTTTGGCATATTGATGGCATAGGTCTGGAGGAATCTTAATTTATAACCACAAATGGGGTGTTGAGGAAAAAACACCATATTCCCTAGCACTGTAAGTAGTAATAGCCAATGGAATTTACCTCTTATAGGACTGGGTGGTTGTTTGCCAATTTAGATAGCTCTGAAGGAACAGTCAACAAATCTTGTGTGAATAAGGCTACCAAGGACTATCCTGTGGATGATAAATAGATGATAGAGATAGATAGATAGATGATAGATGATAGATAGATAGATAGATAGATAGATAGATAGATAGATAGATAGATAGAC